AGGTTCAATTAAAGCCCCGAGTTCTCAAGGTGAAAGGCATCTTGCCCAACACCTAGCTGCACACAGACACAATTAGCATAGAATAATTATTACTGTCACACAGCCAGTGGTTTCAACAACTTTAACAGCAGAAGCCAAACATCATTTATGCAAGATAAGCTGTTTGATGAGAAAAGAAAAACAACACTTTTTTCTTCCTTGAAATGAACAGTTCATAAGCCAGACAGTCCTGCTTCGGTTCAAATGAATTGATGAAAACTTATTTTTTCATTTCTTACTGGTTCTGAACTTCTCACTGCTAAAGTGCACACTGATGTGAATGTGTCAAAGTTCTCATATCAAATTTGATCCTGGAGTCTTTCGTTGTTTGTTCTTTTGCACAGAAGTTTTTTCTGCACTTCACCAACACAAACTGTTTGAAAGTGCCAGAGATGTTCCCTACTATATCAATTCACAGTGTACCGACAGGCCATCTCCTTCAATTTTTAATCTCTCCGGGTTCCCCCTTGTCTGCCATCCAGGTGCAGTCAAACCATCACTCTACAGCCTAAATCATTGCCTCTGTCAGTTAACAAGTTGTGGGAAGGAGTCATCCTCAAACAGACAAATGAAGGCCCATCACCACTGCCCGGATGCGAATTGTTTTTATTAGCCGACAAAATGTGGGTGCTTAGCTGTCACTACAGGGTTCTCGCAGCAGGTCTGCTTTCCTGTCGTCCTGATATTTTAAATCCTGATGCAATCTGACGGCCGGGGCATTTCAACTCACAGGAGACATATACTTTTTTTAACAGCTTCTTCTGAGATACTAGAGGGACACACACTGAAAACATTTATGCACCAAAAGCCACTTACATTCATGCATTACATTCACAAAGATGAAAACTTCACACATGGTGTACTGGCTGCGATTGAGGGGCGGTTGGTGCATGAAATGAGAGGAAATATAGGCAGAAAACTGCACTGTTCTGCCACAAATACTGCAACAACAGCAGGCTCTCACCATAGTGACGGAGTACAGTTCAACTTAAGTGGGCAACATGATGTTACCTCATTTCCTCAAACCTTTTTTTTCAACCTTTGCCATCTATATGCTAATAAGAAGCATGCGTTGCTTCTTTTCAATATTAAATAGCCTAAATGGAGCTAAAGTACTGCCCTTTCATTTCAAAAGACATACAGTCATTTAACATATTTGTGAATTTTAAAACCGAAACACGGCCTTTCACATGTCTTCATCGTCTGAATGAACATCTGAATTATGTGTTTATTATTCTGCTGTCTTCCAACCCAACCCAAACACATTTAAATACAATTGTCAAGTCTGATGCTTGAATTATATGATTTCAAGCTGCTATAATGCCAACCTGCCATCATCAAAAAGCATCAAAATAATGTGATAACAAGCATTCGTTCTTCTCGAGATGTCCTGCTGCTGCAACCCAGAAAGAAAGACATTCCTGCAAGAAAGTCGTGCCGGGATGTCAACCCTAATAAAGATATCTTGCATTTTAATCCGTGTGTATATGTATGTGTGTATGTGTGTGTGTGTGTGTGTGTGTGTGTGGCAACAGAGTGAGCAGACAGGGATTTTCTGGCACTTAAAGTCAACCTTCGGGCCAAATGGGTGTGGATTTCACTCTCTCCATCTCTGTGTGTCTGTTCACGTGTGCATTCTGGTGGAGAGTGCGCTCCACTAGAATGTGGGTGTTAGGAGTGAAAAATGAATGTCTGTGTCCATATTTAATTATAGGCGTGCATTTATGCATCTATGTGTGTGTATGTTTGTGCAGGATAGCCTCGGCCCAGATGTGCTCTACACAAAAAGACCAATCGCATTTACAAGACTCAAATTTTCCTCGTGCATGCCAGCGATTGTGCAAAGCTGTCAGTGGTGGAGGGACCCCAGTCGCAATAGTAAACACACCCTTACATACAAATCCATAAGTCAAATAAATATTTTATGCTTTGGTTCATTATATTGCTACTCCAAAGCCATGACAGCAATCATCAGCTTCTATTAAGTTTGCCTTGAAACAAAATCCATTCACTGAACAGAATCAACCCCAGATCATAATTAAGGCTCTCATTAGGGTTGCACCACCTGATCATTCAACAGTGCTCTAACAGCTGACTACAAGATGCATAAACAAGGAGATCAATCAGTACTGCATAATTTTTCTGAGCGGGGAAACACACCAAATGTCAGCAGATCAATACAGGAGAAGCAGCAAATAATGAACTTGCTTTGGATCACAAAGGTGGGGTCAAGATTCAGAGGCATTTCTGAAAATGGTTTTAATCACAAGGCTGGCAAAGCTCTCTGCTTTGTGGAGTTTAGTAATCCTGAAGAAAGGTGATGCTGGGGAATGGCTCTTCATCATTTTGATCTTGGGCTTAGGCTAATGACAGATTTTGGAAAGCCTTGTTTCCCACTAACAGCAGCATCACACACTTGGTTAATGCTGCAGGCTAATCGCAGTATCGATATTATTGACAGAGGCTATACTTAGTTTGATCCCTGTCAGAAGCCTCTAAGCTTCCAATCGTCAGTCTGGCCGCTTGCCTATCAGATGTGTGAGTAAGATGATAAGTGTAACCCCTAGCGTTCATCAAGTGCACGGAGATGTGGCAGAATGGAAGGAAGGTGGGGAAAAAAACTTACCCCGAGGATGACAGTGTCTTCTCCTTGAAATATTGGGATGAACTTATCTCCGCGGATAATTTCGGACTGGTTCAGTGGACGAAATCGACATAACACCTTGATATTGCATTCACCGTTCGCATCGGCCATTGTGAAAATAAAAATTTGTGGTTTAGCTTCCAAAGAGATAAAGAGGAGTTTAAAAAATAAAAATAATAGCCTGATTTTAAAAAAAAGCCCCTGTGCAACCTTTTCTCCTAAAGCACCTGCACGCAAACTGGAACCACCGGATATAGCCACATGCAAAGCGAGACTGGCAGGCGAAGCATTTGGAGTTTGGGGTTGCAAATTATTAAAAGAAATGTAAAATAAAAGCAAAACAGAAGCAGCTCCTGGGTGTTTAATAAATTGCCCTCAAATCAAAGCTGAGCTGCATCTCGGCGGTGGAGAACATATGGAGAGTTGTAAATGGGGAGTAGAGTCCAAACCGGTCCGGTCGGTCTGGATAGGCTGCAGGCTTCTCAGAGGCATGCCTTGCATCACTGTCAGCCCTGCTCTCTCACTGTGGGCGGGGCGTGGTAGCGACTCAAATCCTCTCTCATCAGCACCGCGGGCAGAGGGACCGAAGAGCAGGGAGGAGCGCTCCAACTCTGTCATATATACATGAATTAGCCTCCATGGAAACTTCTTCAATGTTTCAGATGCAGCAGCTGTTGCAAAAGTACGAAGTATTTCTGGCATTTACGGAGGCATTTCTGAAAACAGTAGTTTGTAAGGAGCGGGTCTAGGGCTGCACCAGTCTGGTCGTCATGGCAATGCTGTTTTGCATGAGAGGGTAGTCATGTGGGAACTAAAGGGTTCATAATTTCCCCCCAGAGGCTTTCCAGTCTTAAGCAGCGCACTGTGAAGTTAACGAGAAGCCTTTGACACAAAACAAAAAGTCAGAATGATCAGATTCGCATATATCAGTAAACGGGTGAGATGTTATTTTGGGGGGAGTTCCCGCAGTGCACGTCTTGTATCAGACCCCCATTGGTAAATGCACATGTCTTTCAAACTCCGTGCCCTCAGGCTTGCAACAGACTTTTTTGGTATGCTTATTAAAATTCATGAAAATCGAAACAACCTAGACATCATCATCAGAGGGTTTTTAAAAAAAGATTTATATAAGATATTCAAGAGCCAAACGGGAACTTATACAGCTGTCTTAGCAAGCCAATTACCCCTCATGATGAGTGAGCATCTTTCTGTGTGCATTAATTTCTTAAAGTCGGCTATACCAACTGCACTTGAAAAAGAGCATCCACTGCATATGCACTGTAAATGAGTTAGTTACATATTATGAAATGTACATAAGTATATAACGTAAATTATAAATATTATTTTCAAACATGTCGATTTGAGCAGAAGAATATTGCACATCAGGGTTATTCATAAGTTGTTGACAGATCGACCCACAGCAGTATTACAGCTTTTAGGGAGAAGCTGCAACGACATAATATAAGATGCCTGTTTATAATTTAATAACATGTAGGGGAAAAACACGACAACTTGGTCCTTTCCCGAACCGGAAACAACCCAATAAACCAAGAACCTTGAAACCAATGAACCAAATTTTTCTTAAAAACAAAAAACATAAAAACAACTCTTTGGCGCCATCATGTGACGGCATTATGTTACAACACAGTTACGTGTTTTATTTAAAACTAATAAACATAAATGTTATTGAAGAATTGAAGATAATGCATGCGACAGCTAATATCGCGTTTAATAGGAAAATAAAATAAAAAGACCAAAGCCTTATTGAGTCTTATTGAATAAAAGGCGCGCATGCGTGAAAGCGGTGTTCGTTTTCGGGTATGATTGTTTTATTGTCTTCGGTAAGCCGGCGAACTCCTTTCAATTGACGCAGCAGTCGCACGACAGTCCACCTGCCGGTGCCTGTACACAAATCAAGGGCACACGCCGTCACATCAAGCTAGCGACCACATCGGCTTGGAAAGCTCCGCCGGCTGGGAGACTGCTGGCTCATCCATCGTTAGCTTTTGTCATACTCAGACTCTGTCCAGCGATAATTTGCACGTTTTATTACATTCTTTTGTCATTCGTTGGTCTTCTTTTTTCCCTCCCGGTGACCATGGCTGATCCCAAATACGCAAATTTGCCAGGAATTGTAAGTGGCTAACGCTAGCAGACAGATGGCTATACTGCTAACTGGCAGTGCTATCTCCAGGCTTTGACAGCTAAGTTAGCTAACATCTCTGCCGTTTATTTCGTTGTCTGCTTTTTGTTTGCACTCACCGCGCAGCTGGCATTTACAGCTGTAATCCCGTAGTTGCTTTATTTTTCAGCTAATTCCCCGAGTTGTGCTACGGAACACCAGAAGCAAGGGTTAGGAGATAGTTGTTGTTGAATGGGCCGGGGCGTTGGCCAGGCAAGCTGTAATAACCGGGATATCTAACTGTTCCTTATTTTGTTTATCTAATTGTTTGCACAGGCGTTTAACGAGCCGGACGTGTATGAAACCGGTGACCTTCCTGAGGATGACCAGGCTCAGTTTGAGTCGGTAAGTGGGCGCCTTTCCCCCCCAAGTTGCCTGTTCTTTAATTTTCTGCACATTCAGCTAACTAGCTAACAAGTGTTTACACGTAGATTTATGATTGACAGTACGGAATAACAGCTTCTCACTTTTACTGTATAAATTACATGGCAAAGGGCGGATATGTCAGCGGTACTATGCATGTAAAGAATCTGTCCCTGTGCCTTTCCTGTCCTTACCAGCTCTGCAGGGCGAGTGAAATACTATTTGTAAGACGTGTACAAATACCCCGTTGTTGATGCTCTTGTTTAAAATATCGAGTTGAAGTAGTGAACTTTGTTCATATTTTATACAATACATACAACTGACTTCCACACATTGTCCCTGTTATGTATGTTTCTTTTTTAAATTATTTTAATATGTTGACAGAACTAAGGCACAAGTGCATAATAAAAACAAAAATGTCAGTAGAAGCATTTTAAAATTGGATTCAGACACTTCAAGCATATCAGCAAACCAAACATTCAGGCACTGACGTTGTCTTTTTTTAGAAATCTCTTTTGCTGTCATCAATAGTGATCGAACTCTTGTGACTGCAAGAGTTCAGGCTTGTTTATCAGGACAGCTCTTGGTGAGCTGGTCTGACTTTGGTTTTAACCATGTCTGGGCTATTTTTTCAGACCAGCTGAGAGAATGCTAATTGGCATTTTCCTTCCATGTTTTCATGTTTGCTCTTCCTATTCCCTTGCCCTTGTTTTGACTCTTCCCCCACCCTCCTGGGACCCTAGTTTGTACAAGTAAGACTGGCTCAATTTTTCTCTCAGTGAGCTTAATGCTTTTTTTATGCATGTTTTTGTTTTTTTTAAATTCCCATAGTCACTATTTCTGCCTCTAATGACTGGAATGATATGAGAAATAGATCAGCGACTCTCTTTGTGCAGTGTAATTCAACCCTTTTTGATTGTTGTGAAGTGGAAGGAATTGATTCTTTTCCTCCTATTCTTGCTGCTCTTTTAAAAATTTCTAAGGGATAATGGTGTTGGTGGGTATTCAGCAGAATTGATTTACTCTTTCATGCTTTGACAAAGCAGTGAGGGTTCAAATGTGTGCCTGTGTGAGCGTGAAGCTTTTGGCAGAAGAAATAAGTGTGTTTATTTGTTCTAGGGATTTCTCTTTTTAACCTGCTGTCATGTTCTAATAATTGCTTCTTGGCTAACTTCACTGTTCTGACTAACTGGACATTTTAACGGCCTCTTTACAATGCGTGATAACTTCTTACAGGTTCATTGAGCAAAATGGATATAAAAGAAAGTCACTCACAGTCTGCAGTAGACCTTTAAAATGATCAATAATGAGACTCGTGAATGCCTATTGAGAATAGTTTGTTGTGCTTTACATAAAATAAGCAGAAATATGTCAAGTGCGCATTCCACCTATGTTGTTCTCATGTTGTAGAAATGTAGCCAGACAAAAATGAAGCTTTGGAAATGGCTCTAGCATTGTGTGCTCCACAAGAGTGGTTTCTTAGCCATAGCTCCACAAGCTTGTTTTTGTTCTGTCACCATCCTTTTGGTTACCTTAGGCAAAAACAATGTGGTTGTGTTGGCCACTGGTTTATACATAATTTCACCTAGGGCAGCAAATTAGCATCTGTACTAATACTGACTAATGGAATGTATGCGGCATGTAACACAGATCAACATTGAGATGATTGCTTCTTTGCTGCTGTCATTATAAAATTCTTCACTTTTGGCAAACTACATACTAATTGTGTAGTGCCATAGCCAGCTTCAAAGAAAAATCTGTCGAATTAGGTAATCTCCAATTTGATGCTATATTTTTTTCCTGATGAATTGATTTGCAGACTTTAGTTGAACTAAAACATTGTAAATCACACAGTGTACTGGGGCTCTAACTTTGATATAGTTCACCATGTGCTTTGTTTTAGGTTAGCAGATTCATTTAGGATAAACTGCATGTGACTAACTAAGAACTCCAGTTTAATGAGCTGAGGATACATGCATTTGGGGGTTTGACTTGTTTTAGACATCCTCACCCTCCATTCTGAATCATAATTAATGTTTTGAAACACCAGGCTCTTCATTACTATAAAAGGTATCAAGAGGGAGAGAAACTTGGTGGTATTAAAGGACCACATTATCACGGTGAATTGGGAAAGACGGAAAGAACTCGGAGACCATCTTAAACTGTCTGAGCAAAGTCTCCAGAGTGTTTGGCAGCTACTCTCAGAACACTGCTTTCTTTCTTATCTTTCCCCGACCTTGGCCAACTGTTCCTGTTGTGTGCATGGCATGTGATAACCACATTAATCTGTGTTGTCTCTCTCTCTCTCTCCCCCCTATTTTTTTTTTCTCTCCCTCTGCTCTTCCGTTATTTTCTCTAACTCTTTGGAAACCCAAGGAGCTGGTAAGAGCCTGACTAACTCTCCTCTTCCTCCTCCTCCTCCTCCATCATGTCATATGTGTAACTTGTCTAAGGTTTTGTGTCTCTTTTTATCCTGATGTTTGTGAGCCCACTCATAGCACCTTTGTGTTTGTGTCAGCACTGTTTTAATTCGACCCATTGCATGTAGTTCATCGTAACTGATCACTAAAAAAGTTTTGATCAAATGATCCATGGTATTTCCAATCACTAATCAAAACCTGTCATTTAGAAAAGAAAGTGTTAGTTACTTCCAGCTGTGGTTCTGCCTTTTCCATTCACTCCACATCGTTTTATCATAGTAAACCTATAGCACACGGATGACATATTTGTTTGTAAAGATGACACTACAGTCAGTCTTTGCTGAAACTATGAATGACCTTGAAATTATCTGGTTGTGTAAAAGCTGGACCAAACAATGGATGTGAAACGCTTTCAGATTCTGATGATTCATGGTTAAAATGGGTTTTAATTTCTATGGGTATCTGGACTTGGTTGACAATAATACACACAATAAATGATCTTACCGTATGTTTCGGACCATAAGGCACACCGGATTATGAGGCGCATTAAGCAAAACAAAACAGTCAGATATGTCAAACTTTACTCAACTCATTCTTCTTGCTTCCTCCACTTCCGTAACATTGATTCATTAATGTTGAATTCTCTGGCAGCTGCTCTATTCCCATGTTGTTGCAGTATGTTAATGACTAACCTCGCATTGCGGTTGATGGATTATCTTAGTTGTTCTACTGACTGAAGTTTGGTCCGTTTACAGCATCCTGCCATGCGGCTGCATTTGTCCCTAACGTTAGCTTTTATCGAGTGGAAAAAAGTTAGCATTAGCACAACACGCATAGCTGTGTCGCTAGCAATCACGTAGCACATCATTATATACCAGCTAGTCCAACTTCAGTAACCCTACAAACGCCACTGCTGTTTAGTTTTCTGTCTTCGTTTATGTTGTAAGTGATAGCAGAGCTGTACGTTTGAATTTTTTTCAGAAATCTCTCAGTCAGAACATGCTATATGTTTAGGTTGAAACTAGCGAGCTAACTTCCTGCTAACGTCTAACTCCATTAAATTTAATAAATTCTGTTTTCATGGATGCTTGGATGTTAAACTTAATTGTTACACCTGATAAAGCAGCAACGCTGATCATTTTATTAAAGATTAAAGAATAAAGACAGTTTTAACTCTCAGTAATGCTGCAGTGTTCGTTTGACTTTTGTACCCGAAGCGGACACAGTTTTGGACCCAGATTCCTCAGCGAGACTCCTGACTACGGTAGCCGTAATGCTCAGACAATCCATTAAGTGGTGCAGCTTCGTAGCTTACCAAAGTCATACTAAAACATTTTTTTGACAGATTTTTGAGCGCCGTGTATCACATAAAATCATTTCGAGCTCAGTAAGCACAACCAGAATTCATACATAAGGCTCACTGGTTTATAAGGCGCACTGTCGATTTTTGAGAAAATTAAAGGATTTTAAGTGTGCCTTATAGTGCGGAAAATACGGTAATCATATTTTTGGGCAGTGATCAGACAAAGGTTTCCTGTCCAAATTTACCAACCTTTCAATGTATTTTAAGTGCACCTGGGGCTTTGAGTCTTTTGGCTCACTGATTTGGCTAATTTAACTGTGTGAGTTTGTTGATGTTCAGCTGACTTTATTTCCTGGTTTTTCAATGACAGGAGGAGCTTTGCAGTGACAGCGTGGAGAGGATTGTGGTCAACCCCAATGCTGCTTATGACAAGTTCAAAGACAAGAATGTCAGCACCAAGGGACTTGGTCAGTTTCTCACTTTTAATTTAATAACGATGTATTAAGTTGAATAACAAAATATGTGGTGGTATACCACATCATTGCATTAGGTCACATGTTTCTTTATTACATTTTACATCCACTGTCTGTCAAATGCACCATTTTTACAAATTACAACATCCATGTGTTTTAAGAAAGTATTTATCCTTCATTAAAATGAAATTATATATTTGTGGCTGGTATTAAAAATGTACAGACTTGAGTGGAAATTAGTGAATTATCATGTCACATTTGTAGACAAAAAACAAAGTGTTACTTTAGTCTGTTGCTAACATATCTACCTCATTAATGCCGGGCTCACACTGTGCGATTTTGTCAGTCGCGCGATTCAGCTCCTGCTCAAACTGTACGATTGACTCGCAGGGGTTAGAAGTTCGTAGGTCACGATGCAGGGTCTCACACTATACGACCCGATGCTCTGATGCGACCCGAGTGCTCACACTGTGCGTCCATAAAATTAAGGTTATAACAGAAATTCTGTCGCTCTCTGTCTTTCACTCACACAGACACGCACACCACCATCAACTTTGCTAAATTGCTAATGAAAAACATTGATCAGGCAGCTGTGATTGAGCAGCAATGTCCATCCAACTATTTTCACGGTTGTTGTGGTTGTGATAATTTTGTGAGGCCACATCGAAAAGGCTCGGATGAGCTTGCCAAAGTTCTACAAGTGCCTCCATCGCTTGTGTCCAGATCACACACTGCACTGCCGTGCTCCGCAGTCTTTTTCGCTGACATTTGTGTTTGCGCGTGCGCAGTGTGAGAAACTGCGGTGACAGGTTTGAAAATCCTCACGACCAAGCGATTGATGATCGGGAGCTGGTCGTGAAGTGTTAATCGCTTCTCGTTACCCCACGTATACTACACGATGCACGACGCACGATGAAGGCCAAAATCGGGCCGATCGCCAAAACGGTCGCACGACTCAAAAATCGGCTCAAAATGGGCCAAAAATCGCACAGTGTGAGCCCGGCATAAGGTACAGAATGCAGAAGAGCTGCTTTGGCTTCAGTTAGTTAGGAGATTATTAATTGGTTCATTGAATTAAAGCCTATAAAGTTAACATATTGCTAAAATTGGCAAAAGTAATAAAAAAGAAAAGTAAATGACACACATTCCTTTGCTTTGTCATTTATTCTCAGTGCTTCTTTGGCTGCCCTGTCTTTAAAAGATTTATCTGCTGTCATTTGTATTTAATTGTTGTATAAGATAAATTTCTTCTTTAGTGTAAAGAAAACAAAAATCAATAAATATGTAAAACAAATTAAAATATTTTATTCCTTCAGTTTGTGCTATAACAAATAGATTTGCATTCTTAGAAACATCAGTTTCAGCTTTTAATGTCGTGTTTGTCACTTTCTCTCTCAACACATCTGTCCTTTCTTTTTCCAGACTTTTCAGACAGAATCAGTAAAAGCAGAAGAGTTGGCTATGAGTCAGGGGAATTTGAGATCGTGAGTACATTCTGCTCAGCAGAAGAACATTACTTTGTTCTCATAAAAAGACTGTAATTTTGTTCACTCTGTGTTTGTTATTTCTAATAAAAGTCAGAGAGCATGTGATGCTAGTGGCGTGATCATTTCTCTCAGCTCTTTTGTTATTGAGTAATATTCATTCAGTTTCTCTGTTCTGTGGCTTAGCTTGGAGAGGGCTGTGGAGTGAAGGAGACTCCTCAGCAGAAGTATCAGCGCCTAGTGAATGAGATCCAGGAGCTCACGCAGGAGGTGGACACCATCCAGGTAACCTGCAAGCAATAGACGTGCACACACGTCCAAAAGAGCGTGTGAGGGATGATCATTCTTCTACCTGTATCTTAATGTTAGTAGCCTTCCTCCACATTGCTCATTTAGTATTGCATTTATTGAAGGGAAGAGCCACCATTGAGTTGGAACAATTTCAGCAAATCTAATCCAAAGCCTAATCTGACGAATACCAGAGTGTTAGTGAGAAGAGGGTTTATCTTAAAATGGCATAGCAGGTTGGCTAAACTGGCTGGTGCCACCAAGGCAAAGACTAGTGAGCTTCCTGAAAGCCTGCCTCAGGTATGCTTTTATCAACACCTGACTAGGTGTGGCCAATTAGCACCAGCTGAACACACTGAGGAGATTAGTAGCTGCAGAGGGATGTAACAATGCATTAAAGCTAAAGTCCACCGTGAACATTTGCTAGATTACAACCAACAATGTTGATTAACAAAGTTTCCTCCCTGTCATCGTGCGAGAAATAGCTCACACCCTCAAAGTTAAATTTAAATTTTATTTGTCACACACACAACTATACACAGTATGACATGTGGTGAAATGCTTATTGCTGTGCAATACCCGACCACTAAATGGCAGTAAGAATTGACAGTAACATTTACAGATTACTACAAAAAAACCTGATTTTAACTTAGAAATTTAGAGTAAAATGTGCAAAAAACAGTTTATGTAAAGAATTATGAATAAAAACTAGAGTGCTTGTGGTGATGTGATGTGAGTGAGTCCAGTCCTACATCTGGTTCAGGGCCCGAATAGCCTGGGGCGAAGAAGTACTCCTCATTCTCTCTGATTTGGCGTTAAAGGAGCGGAAGCGCTTCCCAGACCTCGGCAGTGAGAAGAGTTCATTGTTGGGAT